GAACATAGTTCACAGACCTCACATTGAAAACAACTATTGGTTTAGGCAAAAATGACAGATCTTCATATTAGTCAGGTGTTTGTTTTAGAACAGAGAACCAATTATGAAGGTGAAGAACTATGGCAAGTGTCAAACATGTACATGTATATGGTGGTGAGGAAGGTGGGCATTAAGCATTTGAAATATGGTTTGTGAGGATGCTCTCACTCATAAGTGGGTGTTGAACAATGAGAACACAAGGACACAGGGAGGGCAACATCACACACTGGGGCTTGTTGGGGGTGAGGGGGGCCTATGGGAGGAACAGCAGGGGGTGGGGGCATAGGGGAGGAATAGCAGGGGGTGGGGGGATGGGGAGGGATAGTATTAGGAGAAATAATTAATGTAGATGATGGGGTGATGGTTGCAGCAAACCACCACAGCACGTTTGTACCTATGTAAGAAACCTGAACTTAAAGTGTGATAATAATAAAGAATATTATGTATTAGATATTACCATGTGCGGCAGCTCATGCCTGTAATCCGAGCACTTTGGGAGGCTGAGGTGGGTAGATTACCTGAGGTCAGGAGTTGAAGACCAGCCTGACCAACATGGGGAAACACATCTCTACTAAAAATACAAAACATTAGCTGGGTGTAATGGCAGGCACCTGTAATCCCAGCTACTTGGGAGGCTGAGGGAGGAGAATTGCTTGAACACAGGAGGTGGAGGTTGCAGTGAGCCGAGATCACGCCATTGTACTCTAGCCTGGGCAACAGGAGCAAAATTCTGTCTCAAAAAAAAAAAAAAGTAATCTGTGCAGACTCAGGAAAGCTTAATTCACAAATGCATCTCCAAATTACCTCTAAAACTGTTAGGTGTCTGTTGTTTTAATGTTAGGATATGATATTATCATTGTATTTAAAATTTTTTTAAATAAAAGTCATTTTATTTAAGACAGAAAAAATTTAAAAAAAGGAATATGATTTATGGACTACTATAGATAAAAGAAATTCTTAGATGCTGAGAAATAGTCAGAAAAAGTAGAATGGTATTGAATTCTGAACTTCACCTTAAAGAAAAGAAACCTCAACAGAAGGATAGAGTTACAGAGTTTGCATAGGGGTAGAGGGTCACACTTCTATGTAATAACTCACAGCAAGACAGACTGGACAATTTGCCGAGGAGTTTGCGAAATCTAAAAGCTGAAATGACACGTCATCATTCTTGTTATTGCACTTCCAGCCTTGCCAGGACAAGGACACATGCTGCTATTCAAGTAACTTACTGCTCTAGTGCTAACAAGTGAGCATAGGACACAGGGGATACTAGGAGTAAAATGATCTTATGTTTGATATAGCTTTTCTGCACCGATTTCCTCTGCAGATTTTTATGAGGGGTCAACTCACCTCCTCTCAACCATCCCTGGAATAGCTGTGGTTAATAATACAGGTTCACAAATGTGATTTGTCTCTATTTTTTTTATTTACATGTAAACAAATGGTCTGAATGCAGCCTTTAAAAAAGGCTGAATCTCAGTCAACAATCATTATTTTGTTCATGTTGCTATGTTATTGCTTTCAAGTCTAAGAAGAAAATCATATGAGAACTTCAGCCTGACTTATATCACTCGAAGATAGTTTGGATACCAAGAACCAAACAAAACAGACAGAATAAAAGCAGCCTGAAGTTCTTCGGGTTTACTTTATCTCTGCCTCTCTCAGAAAGACAGACGTTTGTAACGCTTGACTGCAGCCCTTCATTAAACAGGAATCATTCTCAGGCCTGAATCCTAGAGAAACCAGAAAACATCTTATAAAGCTACCAAGCGGGTAGCAGAATTAAAGGGATGTTTTGGATCAGGCATGGTTTAGCAATCATTTCAAAACAAAGTGTTTCATTAAACAATTCAGAATGACTATTTGCAACTTTATGAATTCTTTCCAAACTAAAATGCTAAGAATAATGAACATTTTCAGCATCCCTTCATTCACTCATTTCTTTTTCCTTTACTGTGTAGGGTTCCTACAATAAGAGTTGCACTGGAAGACCCCTCAGTGTACTTAGAGGAGAGTGCACAGTGCAGTACAGTGGGTTTTCTGATGGCTGCAGTTAGGAGGAGGCTCCTTGCTAGCTGCTGTCACCACTCCCCGACAAGAGCACACGACTCCTGCTCCTTGTCCGATGCCTGAAATAGTCCTAATGACATATTCTTTATTTTTTTTTGGCGTTTCAGATCTCTTTATTTACTATTATTATTTATATTATAATTTAAGGTCTGGGGCACATGTGCAGAACGTGTAGGTTTGTTACATAGGTATACATGTGCCATGCTGGTTTGCTGCATCCATCCCTTCCTCATCTACATTAGGTATTTCTCCTATGTTATCCCTCCCCATTACCCAACCCCTTGCTATCCCTCTCCTAGCCCCCCAGCCCCCTGACAGACCCTGGTGTATGATGTTCCTCTCCCTGTGTCCATGTGTTCTCATTGTTCAACACCCACTTATCAATGAGAGCATGCGGTGTTTGGTTTTCTGTTCTTATGTCAGTTGCCAAGAATGATGGTTTTCAGCTTCATCCATGTCCCTGCAAAGGACATGAACTCATCCTTTTTATGGCTGCATAGTATTCCATGGTGTATGTGTGCTACATTTTCTTTATCGAGTCTATCATTTAGGGGGATTTGGGTTGGTTCCAGGTCTTTGCTATTATAAACAGTGCCATAATAAACATACATGTGCATGTGTCTTTATAACAGAATAATATGTAATTTGGGGGGTATATACCCAGTATATATACCCAGTAATGGGATTGTTGGGTCAAATGATATTTCTATTTCTAGATCCTTGAGGAAATGCCACACTGTTTTCCACAGTGGTTGAACTAATTTACACTCACACCAACAGTGTAAAAGTGTTCCTATTTCTCCACATACTCTCCAGCATCAGTTGTCTCTGGATTTTTTAATGATTGCCATTCTAACTGCTGGGAGATGGTATCTCAATGTGCTTGCTACAAAGAGAATAAAATACCTAGGAATACAACTAACAAGGGATGTGAAGGACTTCTTCAAGGAGAACTAGAAACCACTGCTCAAGGAAATAAGACATGATGCAAACAGATGGAAAAACATTCCATGCTTATGGTTAGGAAGACTCAATATCATCAAAATGGCCATACTGCCCAAAGTAATTTATAGATTACTTTGGGCAGTATGCTATCCCCATCAAGCTACCATTGACTTTCTTTACAGAATTGGATAAAAACACCTAAAATTTCATATGAAACCAAGAAAAGAGCCTACATAGCCAAGACAATCCTAAACAAAAACAAAACAAAAGAGAACAAAAAAATAAAGCTGGAGGCATCATACTATACTTCAAACTATACTACAAGGCTACAGTAATCAAAACAACATGGTACTGGTACTTAAACAGAGATATAGACCAATGGAACAGAACAGAGGCCTCAGAAGTAATGTCACACATCTACAACCATCTGATCTTTGACAAACCTGACAAAAACGAGCAATAGGGAAAGGATTCCCTATTTAATAAATGGTGTTGGGAAAACTGGCTAGCCATATGTAGAAAGCTGAAACTGGATCACTTCCTTATACCTTATACAAAAATTAACTCCAGATGGATTAAAGATTTAAACATAAAACATATTCTTTAGAAAGTGGTGGTCACTTAACACATTTGAATTCTGTTATTTTTATTTAGTCACTGGATTTATTCTTTAGCTTCATTTATTCTCTTTCATTCTTTATTTAATGCTCCTTCCTTTGAGGATATAAATACATTATTACTTATTTTTTCACTCCCTATGATATTGTTACTATTTATAAGAATGCACATTGTTAGATTCTTTTAAAAAGTGCCTCTACTTTGTCCTAAAATAATAATGTGATAAAGTAATAAAGACATATTAGTATCTCTACTAGAGCTTTGACTGGTGTTTTAAGAGGCAAAATTAGAATACTGAGAGAATGGAAAGAACTTTAATAGGTGAGGTGGCATTTGATTTGCAGAGCTTTGAAAAATAGAGTAGTATTTCTAGTAGTAGTAGCAGTCATCCTCATCATTGTAGTAGTAGTCTGCCTATAGGTGGACAGGCTCAGGATGGCTTAATAAGAGAAACCCATAGAATTATGAAATACTGAAAGCAGAATATTAATTATTTCAGAAAATTATGGCAAACAAGTGTTTTCATTCACAGATTCTTAGACTTGAACCAATCCAATGAGAGTCAAATATTAATCTGGTAATATGTCATTTACACTACTATTATTTTATTCCCCCATTTCTTTAGAAAATAGAGAAAAATAATTCAGTGATCCAGGCTTTCAGTTTCATTCCCATTCTGTTTTAAAATTTATGTCTGAGAATTTGTCTACTAAATATACAGAGATAATCCAAAATCACTAATATAATATGACAAAGTACCATGCACAAAATCTTAAGCAAATGAAGCATGGTGATTTTCATTAAGTTAAAGCAGGCAAGGATTGCACTATTTCTCCCCAGTAAAATAACAACAAGGAAAGCATTTGCCATCTCTTGTTATTGTGAAGGAATTTGTTCCATTAATACGCATGGCATGCTGGGCGCTTTCCTTCCCCAAGAAAGACTGACCTCTAGTCAGCACTTCCGTATTTTTACTAGAAGAGACTAGCTCAGTTTAGAATTTTCATTGTGGATTGAAATGTATTCTTTTAGCAAGCCTTTTGATTATCCCAGGATTTTCTCAGGATTAGAGTCACATTTCTCTGCATTCAGAGCTTCCATAGAAGAAAGTCGCCAGTAGCTACTAAAAGTAGAGAATATAACAGTTGCTTTCTCAGTATCTAATTAATGTAGCTTTTAGGTCTCTTCTCTGGCCAATTGTTTAAAATTATTCAAGGTTGGAGAAAAAAGAGAATTAATAGAACAGTTTATTCAAGATGTTCAAGCTTAAAAAATAGGAATCTTTTACGTTATGAGAAATTTTCCATTGGAATTCCAACATACAAAACAATGCTATTCATATCATTTATAAGTTCAGTTTCGCAGAGCTTATAGCTTGCAGTGAACGCCAAGAATGAAGTACTCAGTTCCAGCTGAGCAAGTTTAGGGGGTAGCTCTTCTGAGAGAGTCCACCCCAGCATCCATCTGCCAAGTATATATTGAAAGGGCTTGTACTAACTACAAACATCCACTAGATGGTCATTCGAGGTGGGTTGCTGAGGCACCTGTGACCTTGTACACACTCAAACTGCATTCTTAGGAAGCTGTTTTCAGCATTCTTTATCACACCACACACTCCACTCCCTGTCCTATTTTCAGGGTCAAGGAGTTTCATTCCCATGCACAAATAACATACACAGTGCCTCAGTATTTTTCAATGCCCGACCTCAAATACTATGTTCAGATGCTAGAATATGTTGCCATGCAACCCCTACATCATCCCCTTCTTTAATTCCTAGAACATGCTGGTCATTCAATGCAAAGTAAGCTTCTATCATTCTTCTTTGGTCGTAGATGCATCAGGTGGCAGCACAGAGCCATCTGCAGATGCCTAGCAAACAGATACAAAAAGTGAATTAGTATAGCGGCCATCACCCAAATGCATGTGTTTAACTCAGACAACCAAGTGTTTGGGTTTAATCATGGAAAGCCTCCTTGTAAGTGCTGAAGGGTACTTGCTTGTAATTGCTGTGACCATTCATCAAGTTGTTTCTTTAATTCACACTTAAGAGTGGAAATTTGAGAAGACAAATGGTCCTGATAAGTCCCTTGCAGATGTGGTTTTCTAAATAACTGCAAGGTGGAACCTCCTTCTCAGTTCCACGTTAAATTTGCAGGCAGCTACAGTTCTGCTCACTCTATTAATATCATGACATAGGTTATATTTAACTGTGTAATGTTTTGATGAGACAAGCATGTAGCATGCCAGTTTCTGGAAGAGATTTTAATACTATCAAGGATAGATTCTGTTCTACTTTAGGAACACCTTGCCCAAACGGAAGTATATAGGAGTGTGTAGTACAAATCAGGACTGTGTCAGTAACATTATTGTGCAAAGAGAGGGTATAGTTGCCACCACTAGTAATGTAGTCACCATGTGAAAGAACCCGTTCAAAAAGGAAAGACCTAGTCTCCAAATGTGGGTATGAGCAGGACTTAAAGCTTGTTTCCCTTTTAGTTGTAATATTGGTCCCAAAAGCCTTACTCTGACCAGGTGACAGAACTATTGGATGGACTTTCAAATTCAATAGTCTGATTAGCAGACATAAGATAATGAGGGGGGCCCCAATCAAGTAAGGTGTCATTATCAAACAGAGGCCCTTGGCGCAGCACAGGTGGTCTGCATGGAGACCAATGGACGGCCTGTAACTTATACTGTCATTCCCTACTAGGATGGCACATAGGAAGATCAGACACTTGTGTAGCTTCGTTGGAGACCTCAGTAACATTAGTAGTAATAGCAGAAATAAAGGTCATATTTGCAAGCTTAGTATCCCTTTTAGGCTGATAGTAAAAATACTCCTGAGCAATAAGAGTACCACACTTATCATGTGCTATTGTGGAAAAACAAAGAGAGGGATTACTTTGTAAAGTCAAGGAGTTATAAAGTTTAATCCATCTCAAATTTTCAGCTAAGGGGTCAGACCAGCATCTATTAACTCCTGTCCAAGAAATATCATCAGATGACAAAGGCAGGTCAGCGTCCCACCATGTGATAACATTAAAAATGGGATTTAGAACATGACTCCGATAAACATGTTATTGAGCTGATCCCACCTGGCAAAGGACAAGAATTACCAGCCAGCCTAACATCCATGCCAGTCTTACTTTCTCAGATGTTTCCCAATTATCACCAGATACATAAGAAACCAGTTCTTTGCATTTGCAGGGGCTTCCATGGCAGCAAGCTGGATAGTTGCTTGTTGATCCAATTTCTTTAGCTGTCCTCAAGTAATGTCAGATGCCATCTGAGTCACCACCATCCCTGTCAGTCAATTCTCCAATGACAGTTCCTACTCTCAAGGAGAGAGTCCCATATTCACCTTTTTTTGTTTATTAATATATATTTTAAGAGTTTGATGAGTTTATTCAATAATGGCCTGACTGGTTAAGTAATAGGGAATGCCAGTTTTATGTTGTATGTGTTAAAGTCGCAATGCACATGTAAATTGAACACTAAGACAGTAAGGACTATTATCAGTTTTTATAGTTTGTGGAAGGTGTAAAGTCATAGATTTAAACAAATGAGCAACTGCATTTTTAGTTTTTTCTTTGGTCCGAAGGGTAGCATGTATTAAACTTGTATAAGAGTCCATGGTAATGTGAAGAAATTTAAAACATCCAAAGGTTGGTTCTGAGTAGCATCCGTTTGCCAGATAGTATTAGGTACCAAACCTCATTGGTTAGCACCAAGCCCTAAGGAAAAAGAAGAGAGAGAATGCCACTGGCAATCAGGACAAATTTTAATAATCATGTGAGCTTGAGCAAGTATTAAATAAAACTGTTATTTAAGACTGCGGGCATTCTGATGAAAAAAGCACAGTCAGCTTTAAATACAACTGTTGTTTAAGACTATGGGCATTTTAATGGAAAAAGCACGATTAGCTTGAGCTTGCAAAAATGCAGGGAAGTCTGCAAACCACGTGTGATTTTACCAGAGCATCAGCTCAAGTGTTCCCTTCTGATAAAAGACCAGGTAACCTAGAATGAGAGTGAATATGTGTGATGTAAAGATGGTGATGACGGACACAGAGGAGCTCTCGCACTGCAAGAAATAAAGCTAGTAGAGACTCATTAGTAATGCCCCTCATATGTGCAAGAGCTAAAGAAGTAATGCTATCAAGTGCATAAGCAGATCACTAACTATATTTATGTTTTGGTAAGAAAAAGTTTGTAAGGCCAATATCAGGGCTCCTAACTCTGCCTGTTGCATGGTTTTAAAATGTTCCTGGATTTTGTGCTGCCAGTTTTTCATGGCATCTTGCCACACTCTAGCTGTCTTTTCAGTTTTCTGAACCATCTGTGAAGACAGTAGTGGCATGAAGCAAGGACTCAGAGACAACAATAGATACAAATCTAATAGGCACAGTTTATAAAAAGTTCAGGAGCTTAGAAGCGGGTAAATGAAAGCTGATGTTATCAATAAAGTCAGCCATTGCCATTTGCCAATCAAGATTACAAGCTAAGAGAGTATTAAATTGTTCCTTGCTTAGCGGTAGGAAAAGAGTAACAGGGTCATATCCTGATAACTGGACGCAACATCAGTGCCGGTTTATGAGAAGAGAAGCTATTAAATCTGTAGTCTTTCGTATGTGTTTAGAGGGGTTATGAGACAGGTAAATAGCACATAAAATACAGAAATAGCAAAAGATAAAGCCTACCTGTTAAACTAAGACATAAAAGTGAGGGATATTTTAAGTGATTTTTACCACATTCTAGTCCTTGAAAGTCATTAGAATGTGACTGCAAGTCGCCAGGATGATAAACCTGCATTGGGTTAGCTTAAGTGTGGAAAAAAAAAAAAAAAAGAAAAGAAAGAAAGAAAAAGAAAAAAAAACAAACTTTAAAAAAATATCCTTAGACAGTGGCCATTTTCCTGAATAGGCCTTCTAAAGCTGGAATGCTTTAGAAGTGAGCTTGGTTGGGAAAGTAGGGCTGTGGCCAGTTTCTTTTCACCTGCTCGGGCTCCTTAGCCTCTCTTTTTAGCAGCCTGACACCTGTTGCTACTCTTGCCCTGAGAGGAAGGCAGGAAGACTACAAGAGGCGGCAAGAGGGCAGAAAATGACCAGGTGTTAAAGTCTCCTGCGCCGAGGCAGGAGAGCCAGGGTTACAGGCTGAGAGAAGACCATTCCCCTCATCCTCCAGACCACCTACGCTTGGAGCGGACCCTGTTAGGTAAGGACCCTGTAAGGAAAAGATACGGGGTTTTTTATTACTTTTTTAAGCAGAGAACTCGGGGGAGGAGCAGACATGCAGCACAGGGTCTGCTTTGAAGTTTCCTAGCCACAGTGTTTTTCGACATTTTATTAAAAAGCGAAAAAAGCATTCTTTACTGCTGCATCTATCTACCTTCTGAAGATAACAGTAGCTGGCAGAGTTTGTCCACCTTAGCCTAGTTGCATTTAATATAGGGCTAAGGGAGAGTGCCGCTCATTAGCAGGCTTCTCCCGCAGAGCTCTATACTCTAGGCTGCTCCACAGCCCTCTGTTCACCTTAAGCTAGTAAGGTCGGGGTGCACATGGAGTGTTTCTTAGTCCTTTCCCTAGGGGTCAGGGAAAACAAGGAATTGCTTGTGAGCTGAAACATGCAAGGGGTGGCAGGGAAGGGCAGAAGTAGGAAAAGCAGCAGTACAGCAAGCAGCAGGCCACTTTCTGGGCACAGTTACTAGGGTATGTGACTATGGTGAGGAGGATTCTTAGGATCAGTCTGGAGCTGCCTGCAGCCACCTGGGGACTCGGTCTGCACCTCTTGACCTCCTCTCTGTCACTGCAAACCCAGGAAGGGGCAACTTGCCTAGACTGCTAGTGAATAAATGGGCACTCCATGGCATCTTAGCAACTCTCCTTCCCCAGGTCTCTGGGCAGCAAGAAAGCTAGAGTTTTCTGGGATAAAACCCAGAAGGCAGTATGCAACTTTCCTTTATACTCCAGGAAGACAGAAAATAAAGTCAAGACCAAGAAGGCCAATGCTGGAAGTAGGAAGTGAGAACTTACATATTAGAAAGACAACCACAATCAGCCACTTTCCTTCCCTCTTGGGGGAACCCCTCCAGCAGGGAAGTTTGTCAAGGAGGCACGGCCACCCCATCATATAGATGTTTGCTGACTGCGGTTCTTATCCAAGAACCATCTGTTGGGTGGTCTCCAATCTCCTCAAGGGGGATTGGAGGCACTGTTGCCTGAATGTGGCCAATAGATACAGGTCCCTTTAAAGGTGAGGAAAAGAGGGCAGTAGCTTTTCTATAGGGGGAGGAAAAGTCTCTGGTACATCCTTATTCTAACTAGAAAAAAAATATCTTCGTTATTCCCCATAGAAGGGAATGAAGGAGGGAGAGGAGTCTCTCCTTGTTCTGGTTCCTGCTTTTCCTTCTCCTTTAAGTCTCCTAAGTTCCCTTCAGGTGGAGAATACGGACAGTCTGACTCACTGCAATCTAGCAGATAAAGAGGATACGACACAGGGCATACCAGTGCCCAGGTGGTCAAGAGTAACATTAGTAAAATGACCTTGCTTATATCCTCTTTTCAGGCAGTCACCTACCTGCTCTTGCAACTCTAAATCTAAGGTTCTGTAATCAGGAAACCAAGGACATTCCTGCCGAATTAAGAGCATCAGCTTGTGTAGAGCTCCAGGCTCCACAGTGCACTGGATAGCCTTTAGTAGTGTTGCACTGTTTTTAAAAATACTTTCTGCTCTTTGGTCATTTCTTGACCCATGACAACCTAACCCCTGGTATTTTCATGTGCTTCCCACCCATCCTCCTGATGGGATTCCCCGAAAATTGATGAGCCCTCCTCCTTCAGGCATAAACTCAAGGCGATCACGTTGGGGGAA